CTTGCAAGACTGTGGGCGGATGGCTTTAGACCCGACCAAACCGCTCGATGTTTCTCGCGCGGCTGCCCTGCTAGCCAGCCCATCGGAACGAGCCTGTCTGAGCAAACATCATGCGAGTAATGCGGGTAAGTTCTCTAAATTAGGGTCCCTTTTGGGGTCCCCAATATAGTACGGCAGCCTTAAAAGAAGGACCCCCGAAGGGATCCTAATTTGGAGAACTACCCATGTAAGTACCGAACCATCAGCGCGTAACTCACATTCAACCCTGAGCCCTAAACCCCAAACCCTAAACCCCAAACCCTAAACCCTAAACCCTAAACCCCAAACCCTAAGCCCTAAACATGAGACCCAAAGAGCCTTCAGAAGTTGCAGCCTCCCCACTCTGGGAACTTCTGCAGACCTCGTTTTCCGACACTCACTCTGATTGCACAACACTGTTTAGGGTTTAGGGTTTAGGGTTTAGGGTTTAGGGTTTAGGGTTTAGGGTTTAGGGTTTAGTCACCCTTATACTAACAGTCCTTAATGGGAATTATGAAGGGGGTACAAAAATCCCTATTAAGGATTGTTAGTGTAACGGGAACATCCCAACTTGTAGGGGTTGTCGGACTGAAAACAAGAAAGCATTTCCTAAGCTTGGCTCTTTTTCTTATAGGAACGGCCAGGGCAAGGAAACCCAGACTTTGGGACCCCCCAACATAATCCCTACACCCCATTCAGGTAGCTTGTCTTCCTTTTCCGGGGTTTAGGGTCTACAGAAACTGTATAAGGTTTGGGTCCCAACCACGTGTTTAACGAAAAGCTTTCAGCGAAACTTTTTTTTCCGGAACCGTTTTAACCGGAATGTACAGGCGGATTCTTGGACGAAATTGTCTTTGCTTTATGCCTTCACAAACATAGAATCCCATGGCTGGGTGTGAACGAAACATGGCCGGGGCGTGCTAGGGTTTGTGGTTTATAGAGATTGTGTAGGTTTTGGGCCTCAATAGCGTTGTCAAGAAATCGTTTGCAAACAAGCGTTTCAACGAAAGCCTTCAACGAAAGTTTCTGTAGACTGCGTTCTTTCGAAATCATTGGTTTCCATGGTTGGGTGCGAACGAAACGTTGCCGGTCCAGGGGGATCTGCAAAACCTGCTTTACCGATGTCGTATAGGGCTTGGGTCCCAACAACATTATTTTCAAACAAAAGTATTGAACGAAAGTGTTGAACGAAAGTTTTGATCTGTGTTGGGAATTAGGAGCTTGGATGGGGGAAGGCCCTAGAGGTTCAAGTGAACTGAGCATACTGGTCTTAACCTCGGCTTCGTCAGGTGTTTAGACAAGAAAACATGGGAAATGCAGAATGACACCACATACAATTCTCATCTATTTTGTCTTGAGGGTTTAGGGTTTAGGGTTGGGATGTTCCCCCTTATACTCAGAGTCCTTCATAGGGACTAGAAAGGGGGTTACTATAATCCATATTCAGGACTGTTAGTACAAGGAAACCCCTAAACCCCAAACCCTAAACCCCAAACCCTAAACCCTAAACCCAAGGTTAGGGTCTAGGGAAGGCTCCAGTCTGGAACCCTCCAGTCTACCCATAAGTAGCCCTAAACCCTGAAACTGTAACCCTAAACCCTAAATCCCTAATCCCTAAACCCTAAATCCCTAAACCTCTCACCCGAAAACCTAAACCTTAAACACTAAACCCCAAACCCTAGACCCTAAACCCTAAACGTAGGTAGTTAGGACCCGTCGGGTAACACCACGCTGCTGTCACCCGAAACCCTAAACCCTAAATCCCTAAAACCCTAAACCCTGAATCCCTAAACCTCTCACCCCAAAACCTAAACCCTAAACACTAAGCCCCAAACCCTACCCTACCTAGACCCTAAACCCTAAACCCTAAACCCTAAACCCTACACCCTTGACCCTTGACCCCTGTTCCGAGAGGCTGAGCGCGCACCCAGCAGCCACGGCTGCGGGCGCAGAAGCGGCGGCCAAGGAGCTGCCAGGCGTGACAGCAAAGAGTCCTTTTAAAGTTTAGGGGTTTAGGGTTTAGGGCTTAGGGCTTAGGGTTTAGGGTTTAGGGTTCAGGGTTTCGGGGTTTGCCGGACCCTTGGCAGGATCCTAAAAGTAGAGCTCGCAAATAGTACCCTATACTACTATTGGGTCATTTTTAGGAAACGTCAAGTGGGATCTACCTTTTGGATCCTCCCAGGGGGTCTAGGTCTGCTCTGGTTGTTGGGGGCTCTGGGGTTCAGGGTTTTAATTTAGGGTTTAGGATTAGAGATTTGGGGTGTTAACCTTCTTTGGTTTTGTCAAGGGCTTTGTTATAGGTGGCGCTTCGGGGGGGCAACTTGTGGGACTGAACGGTAAACTCTAAACCCCAAACCCCAAACCCCGAACCCTAAACCCTAAATCCTAAACCCGAAACCCCACCTTTACATGCTATCAAGGGCTCAAGACTCGTACCCCTAAGGTGCTACCCCTAAAGGTTTCCCTTAATATACTCCTAGTATGGCCCCAATTTTTTCAAGGGTACCACCTTAAGGGGTCCACCCTAAACCCTAAACCCTAAACCCTGAACCCTGAACCCTAAACCCTAAACCCTAGATGTTGGTACCCAAAACTCGCCACCCTAAACCCAGCAAAGCATCCTGCTCCACAGGCAGCACCGAGGCCTGGGCTCACCCTAAACCCTAAACCCCAAACCCTAAACCCCAAACCCTAAAACCCTAAACCCTGAACCCTGAACCCTAAACCCTAAACTCTGAACCCTAAACCCTAAACCCCAGAATTCGCTCTTGGGGGATGGGGAGTCTTTTGGGGGAACCATTCTTGAAGTCTCGGGTTCTAGGGTTTAGGGATCAGGCTCACCCTAAACCCTAAACCCTAAACCCTAAACCCTAAACCCTAAACCCTAACCCGAAACCCTGAACCCCAAACCCTAAACCCTATACCCCAAACCCAAACGAGCCCTCAACAGCTCTGCCCTGGGTGCTTGGGTCACTGGAGGGCTGAGGGCCTGTGTGTTCGGTGCTTTCAGGTTCCAGGTTGGCTTAGACCTCCAAATCGCCCTACACCCTAAACCCTACACCCTAAACCCTAGACCCTAAACCCTAAACCCAACATACCACTTGTTCTTGCACTGAGACCGCTCCCACTTGAGCCATTCACTCCCATCGCTCGCTCCTGCTGGCCCATTGGAATCTGAGGCTGTCCAACTTGGTAGGCCAGCAACCACATTACAATGTACACTGTTCTAACCCTAAACCCTAAACCCTAAACCCTAAACCCGAAACCCGAAACCCTAAACCCTAACGTGGCAAAACAGAAAGGTAGCACTGTGCTGCCAGGGCTTGCCACAGGTCGTTACCCTAACCCCTGAAAGCACAAAGCCAAAATCCTAAAACCCTAAACCCTAAACCCTCAAAACCGCTAAAGGCGTTCAAACACCTAGAACCGCAAAACCCCAAACAACTCATCTGAACCCCCTAGACGCCCCTTAAACAAAACCCAAAATCTCCGAAGCCCTGAGCCCTGGCCCCGAAAAGCGTCCTAAGAACCCTCAACCCTCGACCCTCAACCCTCGACCCTCAACCCTAAACCCTAAATCCTAAACCTTAAAACCCTAAACCCTAAACCCTCAAGGCAAGGCCGGGGAACATGTTCCTAGCAGCTCGTCCGCGCCGCATTTGAGGGCCACATGTCGGCCTGAGGCGTCTCTGGGGTTTAGGGCTTGGGTTCTTAGGGGCTGTACACCCTAGCCCAAGAAAGGTTATCTAGGCTTTAGGGTTTAGGGTTTAGGGTTTAGGGTTTAGAGTGTAGGGTTTAGGGTTTGCCGTTTATATATAGTAGGATTCTATATCACCCACAACAGGCTAAAGGTTGCCTACCCAGTCCCTAAGGGTTTGGGTTTGGGGTTCAGGGCTTGACGCTTCCCTGGTTCGTCTTCATAGATTCCGCCCGTGTTGGGATTTTGGGGCTTTAGAGCCCACCCCCCCCCCCCCCCCGTTTAGGGTTTGGGGTTGAGGGCAAACCTTGCGCCCTAAACCCTAAACCCTAAACCCTAAACAACCCTAAACCCTCAACCCCAAACCCTGAGAAAGAGTGTCGGGGGATCCCGTGAGTTCTTCGCTAGTGCTCAGTGGCCAAGGCCTTGGGAAAAAATAAGTTAGGGTTTCGGGTTTAGGGTTTAGGGTTTAGGGTTTAGGGCTGGGGCTTTATAGGGTTGAGGCTCTAGGGTATAGGGTTGAGGGGGCCTGCTTTGCGTTTAGAAGTCTTAAGGCCGTAGAAGCAATTCGTGCAAGTAGAATTCGTAGACGTGCCAAGCCCTAAACCCTAAACCCTAAACCCTAAACCCTAAACCCTAAACCCTAAACCCTAAACCCTAAACCCTAAACCCCACAAAGTAAACGTATGGGAGTCCTGGGTCGTCACGCGTGCATGCTGGCACGTAAACAACCCCTATAAACCCTAAACCCGAAACTCTAACCCCAGCAAAAAAAAGGTTTAGGGTTTAGGGTTTAGGATTTAGGGCTCTAGGGGGGGGGGGGGGGGGGCGGCGGGTGGTCGTCCTTTCGCCTGGCCTAGCCAGGCGCCGCCAGCACCGCCAAGTCCGGCAGCGACACCCAGACCCACTGAAGAGCCAACCTTGGCTTAGGGGTTTAGGGTTTAGGGTTTAGGGTTTAGGGTTTAGGGTTTAGGGTTTAGGGTTTAGGGTTTAGGGATTTTAGGGTTTATAGGGTGTATGGGGTTTATAGGGTGTAGGGGTTTAGGAGTTTGGGGTTCAGTTCTGTTGGTGGTTTAAGGGTTGCTTAGTAGTTTGGAGTGTCAGGGTTGGCTTCAGGAACTTTTATTCAGGGTTTAGGGTTTAGGGTTTAGGGTTTAGGGTAGAGCTCATATCGGAGTTTAGGTCTAAGGGTTGCTTCACAGGCCCTTAACATGGTCCCTTACCCTCTTGATGTCTGGGCCCTTAATTAGTATAGGTATATAAGGATTACATAGCGGGTACCCGTTTAAGGGCCCGTATTTGGGGTCTGTAAATGTGAGAAAATGTTGAGGGCTTTATAAGGACCGGCAACTACATAGCTGCAAAGAGCACCGCCGCAAGCATGAACGGCCGTGTTTCCCATCGCTGCCTGCGCAGACATAGCTGGGAGCTTGAACATCGTGCAGGCGAAGTGCTCACCTTGGAGGCCAAATGAACCCTAAACCTGAAACCCTAAACCCTAAACCCGAAACCCGAAACCCTAAACCCTAAACCCTAAACCCTCATTTGGTCCCCAAGGCACAGTTGTTGAAGATCACGTCGTACTTCCACTGGCGCCGCTTGTAGGCCTCCAGCGCCTTTTGTACAACTGCTGTGCCTTCTTTCCTTACTGGTTCAGGGTTTAGGGTTTGGGGTTTTTTAGGGTTGTTTAGGGTTTTATAGGGTTTTATAGGGTTTTATAGGGTTTAGGGTTTAGCGCTTGGGCTTTCCAGTGGGTGCTGTTGAGTTAAGCTTTCGGGTAGGCCTTTGTGCTGTTGTTTTGTTTTAAGGGGCTTTGTAGCAGAATGGCGAAAAGTTGGGATGTTCCCTGTTATACTAACAGTCCTCAATAGGGACTTACATAGGGGGTACAATAGTATAACCCCTACTAAGGAGCTGTTAGGATAAAGGGGGACATCCTAAACCCTAAACCCTAAACCCTAAACCCTAAACCCTAAAACCCGAAAAGGTTAACTAGCCAGCGCCTGGGCTTCCATGTGCGCTTCTCCTGAAACACTGTCCAGTGGGAGCCCGGCAAGTCCACGCGCTCGATCCTTAGGGTTTAGGGTTTAGGGTTTAGGGTTTAGGGTTTAGGGTTTAGGGTTTAGGGCTACTGGCCTAATACAGGGAACCCAGAACCCCAAAAAAGTACATAAGTATACCTCTGAACAGCCAAGTATCTGGATGCCGCCAGGGTTGGCACCAATAGCACAAGCTTTGTATGGGCCCACATCACCAGTGTAAATCGCAAAGTGCGCAAAGCATGGGTTGTATTTGTTGTCCTTCTGCTTCAAGTCGCGATAGATGATGCTGCCTGGCCGGCAAAAACCTCTGGCCTGTGGTGACAGAAGCCGTGACGACCGCGACGTGCACCGGCCAGTACGCAGCGCATGCGAAAAGCGCACGCAAGACATGGCTTGCGCAGAGGGGCACCTTGAGACTAACCCAACAAGACAAAACACTGCGTAAAGACTAAATTCCCACGCCGTGGCATTTCCTTGGTGAAATCGCCCCCTTCCCGCCCACATGAAGTATCGTGTGAGGCTTCGGTCAATGTCATGTGTGCGTGGGGTCTTGGCTACACTCAGAAGCGTAGCTAAAAATTAAAATTTTATCTGCCTTATTAAGAAACCCAATAAACCCAAAAAGGCTAAGGATCTAAAGTTACAGTAAAGGTGCTCCATGATCATGACTTGGTTTGTAATTGCTGCGGTGTGTTGACCACCAGTACTGACGTCATTTCTTCCGCTCTTCTTTGCTAGGGGGGGAGGTGGGGGGAGGGGCGAGAAATCAAGGGCTTTCATGCAAGGGCTGCTGACCCGACACCCTAAACCCTAAACCCTAAACCCTAAACCCTAAACCCTAAACCCTAAACCCTAAACCCTAAACCCTAAACCCTAAACCCTAAACCTAAACCCTATGTCGGGCATCTCGAGCTTCCTAACATCTATAAGGCTTATCCTACATAGGCCTAGCCTAGAGTCTATAGGGTCAGCTCTCTAATTTCTGGTCCTGTCTTGGGGTTTAGGGTTTAGGGTTTAGGGTTTAGGGTTTAGGGTTTAGGGTTTAGGGTTTAGGGTTTAGGGTTTAGGGTTTAGGGTTTAGGGTTTAGGGTTTAGGGTTTGGGGATTAAGGTTTGTTTGGGGTTTATAGGGTTTAGGGCTTGGGGTTTCGGGTTAAGGGTTTAGGGCTTACCCTAAATGGGTGTTTACGAACATAAGGCACCCCCTAATATACACTCTCAAATAGTAGGATTCCCTTAGAAAAAAGGTCCCCGAAAAGGTACGTACCCCTAATTTCGGAAACCCCCAAGTAAGAAGGGGCCGCCTTATAATGAGGACCCCCCCCAAAAAAAGGAACCACGTTTTAGAGAAGCGACCACGGGGGGGTCGGGTCTAGGGCTGAGGGAGGCCAAACCCTAAACCCTAAGAACCCAAATGAATTCCCAAACCCTAAAACCTAAACCCCAAACCCCAAACCCCAAACCCCAAACCCCAAACCCCAAACCCCAAACCCCAAACCCTAAACCCTAAACCCTAAACCCTAAACCCTAAACCCCCCGGAATTCGAGACCTTGCCTCGGTAAGCCACCAGCTGGAGGCTCTGCGCGTCGGCGCCGCCGCCGCGCCGCCGGACGTCTTCGGAGAGATCCTCAGCCTCTGAGTCGAGGTGTCTGGGGTTCAGGGTTTAGGGTTTGGGGTTTAGGGTTTGAGGTTTAAGGTTTAAGGTTTAGGGTTTAAGGTTTAAGGCTTGGGGTGTACAAGCCTTAGGAATGTCGAGGCGGATTCGGGGTTTAGAGCGTTTGGGATGTTTAGGCAGGGGGGATGCTTGGGGTTTAGGGTTTAGGGCTTAGGGTGTGGGATTTTCGGTGCTTTACGAAAATAGGAGACCCCAATATAGATCCCCAAATAGTAGGAACCCCTTTAAAAATCAGGACCCTAATAATGTACCCCCAATGTCGGAAACCCCCCCCAAAAAGGGTGTGGGGTTTGTAGCGTTTATAGGTTTAGAGCTTGGGGTTTGGGGGACTTAGGGTTTGGGGTTACCTGCTGCGCCATCAACGACCCACTGTTTTGGGCCGGCCTTATAAGGGACCTTAGGGGTCATTTAGGGGATATTTGGGGGGTACCTCGGTATGTAGGGACTATATCAAGTATATTTTTTGGCTATTCATTTGTTTCTTTATTTCTTGGTTTATTTATCGGGGTTATCTAAGGGAAACAACATTAAGGGTCCCTTCTAGGGGTCCCTCCGTTTACCACTAAACCCTAAACCCTAAACCCTAAACCCTAAACCCTAAACCCTAAACCCTAAACCCTAAACCCTAAACCCTAAACCCTAAACCCTAAACCCTAAACCCTAAACCCTAAACCCTAAACCCTAAACCCTAAACCCTACTCTAAGCGCAAACATTGCATCCCTATAAACCCTACATGTCAGTTCGGCTCGGGGAGCCTTCGGCTTGTGCAGAACAAGGGTTTAGGGTTTAGGGTTTAGGGTTTAGGGTTTAGGGTTTAGGGTTCAGGGCTCAGGGTACCTGAAATACTAAACCCTAAACCCCGAGTGAGTCATCCCCTCCCCCTCATACTAAACCCCCGCCCCTACCCCCTAAGACACCGTAAAATTAGATACTGCCGTTCTAGTTCTCTTGGAGAATATGGGGGGTGGGGGGGGGGGGGTATTTAACATTAGAGGGTAGGGGCCAAACCCTAAACCCAAAACCCCAAACCCTAAACCCCGTTATGAGGGGACTTTTCCGAGGCCCATCGTGCGCAGAGGAGACCCTGCCAAAAGCGGGATCTGGCAAGCTCACTTAACAAGCCAAAAGCAGCGATGTGGGAAGATGGACGCCGCGGTCATCATGCTGAATAGAAGCGCGTTTCTGCACTCAAGTTCAAGTCATGACGGTATTTAAACCCTAAACCCTAAACCCTAAAACCCGAAACCCTAAACCCTTGTCTTAGAACCCTGGGATCGAACGAGCTGCAGAAGCAAAAATTTAAAACAAGTCAGACCATGCTGGTTGAAACCCGCAACACGGACGCAAAGATGTTATACGAGAGGCGTGCCGAGATCATGCTGTAAGGAGTCTGTGGATTGCTAAGACCCCGCAAGGGCGGAGACCGAAATTTCTGGAAGCAGGATGTCCGTAAGAGTTTCCGTGCTGCAGTGGAACCTTTGCCCTCCTACATTAAAACACGCTTCACTTCCTGCTTTTGCGCGCCGGCCATTATGATGCAACTCTGGCCTTTGTCGACGGTATCCTACGGCTGACTAATCAGGAAATGTCGGTCGCCGAAAGCAGGAAGCCCTGAGAGCAAGCTCATGATCGGAGGATCCGAATACCCTAGATCGGTGGTTTCTGGGCCCCCAAACCCACATGCAGGAGTATTGAGTTTTTTTTTTTTTTTGGGGGGGGGGGGGGGGGGGTCTGAAACCACAAGTCGAAGGCAAATGGGCCCTCTTAGTGAGAGGATAACCTATACTCCCCCTTAAAACCTTAACAAGAATAATAGTGCTAATACCCTCTTGGGCTTTTTATAAACAAATCTTAAAAAAAGTCCCAAGCCTTAGAACCTTAACAAGAATAATATTGTGAATACTCTCTTGGGTTGTTATAAACAAATATGTAAAAAAAAATCCCAAGGGGGATGATCAAGTACCATCGATTTGCAGATGGTGGTGTGTCGAGGTGACCGATGACAGCCCAGACGTGGTGGGTGGGACCTCTTCTGGGCCCTTAAGTTCTACGGGTTTAGGGTTTAGGGTTTAGGGTTTGGGGTTTAGGGTTTAGGGTTTAGGGTTTAGGGTTAGGGTTTAGGGTTCCTATGACTTAGGGTTTAGGGTTTGCATGGCTTAGGGCATAGGGTTAGGGCCATCCAGGCAGGGACCACCACTTCGCGAAGCTCTTGATCCCTTACCACATCTGGCAAGCTTGCGGAACCAGTTGAAACCAAAAAGAAGCGATCCCTAAGGGTCCTTGTACCTATATAGTATATACTTGGGCCTTAAAGGGCTTCCCATATGGTGGCTTTAGGGCCCAGGTATGTACTATATATGTACATGGACCCTCAGGGGATGTGGCAGATGAGCTGCCATCATGAGGAACCATGGTTTAGGGTTTAGGGTTTAGGGTTTAGGGTTTAGGGTTTTCTGCACTCAAGCTGAGTCATGACTGTGAACATCTTAGAATGCTGGGGTCGAATGAGCTGAAGAAGGGCGTGTCTTGACAGCTCTAGGAGAAGCACAAATTTAAACAAGTCAGACCATGCTGGTTGCCACCGCAACACGGACGCGAAGATGCAGAGATGTGCCGAGCTCATACTGTCGGAGTCTGTGGCTTGTTAGGATTCGGTAGGGCGGAGACCGTCACTTCTGGAAGCAGGGCATCCGCAAGAGTATGCTTGCGGGAGCGAAACCCCTGCCCTCCTACATGAAAACACGCTTCCCTTGCTCCTTTTCGCACACCGGCCATGGTGATGTAGCTATGCCCTTATCGACGGTATCCGAAGCCTCACATGGTGACGAATCAGGAATTGCCGGTCGCCGAAAACAGGAAGGAGTGCTCAAGGGCATGCCACAGAGGATCCGAATACCCTCAATTGGTGGTTTCTGGGCCCCCAAACCCACAGGAGTATTGCTTTGTTTCGGGGGGAGATCTGAAACCACAAATCGAAGGCAAAATGGAAGAGGACACAATCGCTTTATGGATGGTGGCGTGTCGGAATGACCGTTAAGTGCCCAGACGTGACGGAACCCCTTCCTGGCCCTTAAGTTCTATGGGTCTAGGGTTTAGGGTTTGGGGGGTTTAGGGTTTAGGGTTTAGGGTTTAGGGTTTAGGGTTTAGGGTTTAGGGTTTAGGGTTCGGGTTCGTATGACTTAGGGTTTAGTGCTCCTATGACTTACCTCTTTGGCTTACGGCTAGCTGAGCAGGGACAACCATTCAGCGAAGTTTTTGATTCCTTAAACCGAAGGGGTTCGTGTGCAGAAGCTCTGGGGCCCTGCGTTTAGACTGTATAAGTACTACAGTGCACTCGAACATGGCTCAAGGACGGTTAGGGCTGGGATTCCCTTTAGTGCAGCTTTTGGGGTATGTATGGGGAGGAGGAGGTTCCAACTTGTTGGAGTTTACTGTAATTGCTTACAGGCGGAGGGGTCTAGGGTTCAGGGTTTAGAGGGTTTAGGGGTTCAGGGTTTCGTGTTTAGGGCTTCTGCTTTAAAATCTTCCCCAAAAACATAACATAATAGTCCCCTTATTAACCTGATGGGGAAGACTTTTATTTCATTTGTATTATTATTATTTACACATATATGTATATATATATATTTTTTCTTATTTTATTTATTTATTTAGTTTGATTTTTGTTTTTTTTTTTTGGGGGGGGGGGGGGGGCGGGGTCCTAAGCAACTCGTAGATAGATGAATGAGCCAAAAAGGTTGCCTTGGTATATTACTGAAGTCTCGTCTAAGCACGCTAGGACGCAAACAGCTGCAAGAAGCGTGCGCCCTCACCAGCTCTAGCGACTGGTGCGACAAAACAACTCTGTTTGGCACTGCAAAATGGATCTGGATTCTTAATGAAGCCCCCCATACATCCAGGGATCTACTTGTGTGTCTTAAGAGCTCTAGAAACTAAGGCTGATTGGATTGCTCAGTTGTCCAGTAACCTGGGGGAATTCAAGGTTAACCTCTGGGATTAGGGGATTATACTACCCCAACAAAGGTTAAAGGTGACCTACTTTGCGACTAGGGTTGTGAGGTGCCTGGAAGCACAAGGGTAGCTTCTTGGTTGCACTCAGGAGGGTAGCTATAAATTAAACGTTCAGCTGCCTTATTAAGAAACCCAATAAACCCAAAACAGGTAAGGATCTAAAGTTACGGGTAAAGTACCAGAAAGGAAGCACAGGGTAGCTTCAGACGCTTTCAGAGATCAGGTAATCGACCTCCGCGGATTCTTCCTGAGAACACCTCGGGAGAGATGTCGCGGCGAGGCCCAACGCCTCCTGACTTCTCCAAGAGCCAAGGAGAAAACAATTTAGGCTAAACTTTAATCTTCCGACTGAATAAGGAAACCCCCAAAAAAGAGGCTACACTTCTGAGATTCCTACTAAGTTTAAGTAAGGAAGCCCAAAAAAGTTATAAAGTTCAACTAGAGGTGAAGCAAGCCTCTAGATATCCTCGATCCAGTGAGATGGGCGCACCTAGCTCCTCCACCATGTCTTGGGCAGTTCTCCCTCGGTAGTTCCGAAGGTCTGAGCGCGCGCCCGCTGCAACCTCACTGGGCTAAAGGAAACCCTAAACCCTAAACCCTAAACCCTAAACCCTAAACCCTAAACCCTAAACCCTAAACCCTAAACCCTAAACCCTAAACCCTAAACCCTAACTAGGTCCTGGGAGGCTACCAAGCAGCTAGAATACACGCAGCTTCGAAGTTGCCGGTCATGATGCTGAACATCAGGGGCGTGGCTCCGCGATGGTGGTATGCCAAGTAGGTCAAGGGGGAGGGACTAAAGCGATGGCGGAGACTGAGTGCCTTCAATACCGCCCACCAGGTACCTTTCCTCATTGGAATGCTCAGCTGCTCGTTGATATCAGCCCTGGCCTTAGAAGGAGGGGCCCCCCGTAGTTATAAGTAGAGTTATAAGGACCCTAGGTTGGGTCATAAAGATCCTAACTCAGGTTATAGGTTTTGGGGTTTATGGTTTAGAGTTTAGGGTTTTGGGGTTTAGGGTTTAGGTAGAAGTCCCTTCATTATACTTAGTATAGT